GAACCACTCAGAAAGCGTAATTGAGTCAAGGACGTAAATGGGGCAATACAATCATATTTCTGACCATAGCAAGAAGTTGGGAGAGAAAGTAATTTCTCCGAAATGAAGATAGAAAACGAAGACAACAAGAAGATAGAAGAATATCAGAAGGCTCTTCAAAAATGCAAGTTGGAAATTATGAGTTGCTACACTGATATCAAAGCAAACCCTGGAAAGGAATGATCAAGTAGAAAAAGACTGAGTTTGCCACTTTGAAGTCAAATGAAGATGGAATCGACATTTATGCATTCATGAGAACATCATTTGCATAAAAGAAAATGCATTACACTAATACATTTAATTGCATTCGTGTTTCATACATAAACACATGGTTTTGACAGATCTTCCAGTGAAAAGATAAGATATAGGATGTTAAAATCCCGACAATTGAAAGGTAGAAGTTAAACATCAAATACAGGGAATCATGTTTAGAGAGGCAGAACTTGAGGAACGCAGGGGTCAATCCATAGAGGAAGCTTTGCTTTGAAGAGGGGCACGTGGACCGATCATTAAGTCATTTTTATGAAAGGAAATGAGAAGGATTTCTCATTAAAATATGAAATTTGAGATTTTGAAGAGTAAGAAAAGTTTCTTACCCATTTATCAAAGTAAGTCCTTCGGGCCATCGGTAAGTCTTTCGAGCATGATGATGAAGTCCTTCGGGTCATCAGTAAGTCTTTTGAGCATGATAATTAAATCCTTCGGGTAATTTTTAAGCCTTCACGGAAGAGTAGTGAAGCAAACCCATCAGTAAGTCTTTCGAGCATGATGATTAAATCATTAGGGTAATTTGTAAGCCTTCACCGAAGAGTAGTGAAGCAAATCCATCAGTAAGTCTTTCGAGCATGATAATTAAATCCTTCGGGTAATTTGTAAGCCTTCACCGAAGAGTAGTAAAGCAAATCCATCAATAAGTCTTTTGAGCATGATAATTAAATCCTTCGGGTAATTTTTAAGCCTTCACGGAAGAGTAGTGAAGCAAACCCATCAGTAAGTTTTTCGAGCATGATGATTAAATCATTCGGGTAATTTGTAAGACTTCACCAAAGAGTAGTGAAGCAAATCCATCAGTAAGTCTTTCGAGCATGATAATTAAATCCTTCGGGTAATTTTTAAGCCTTCACGGAAGAGTAGTGAAGCAAATCCGTCAGTAAGTGCCATCAGTAAGTCTTTCGAGCATGATGATGAAATCTTTCGGGTCATCTGTAAGTCTTTCGAGCAAGATGATAAGTCCTCCGGGCCATTTTAAACCTTCTCGGAATAGTGTTGGAGCAAGCCATCAGATCATCAGATGTGGGAGGAAATTGAAGGTTCTCGAGTACAAAGAAGCAGATCAATTGATTAAAAGAAAATGCGCATGGGGAGTCATTAACCAATTCAAAGTCCCAGGAAGAGAGAGGTTCAGATGGCAGTCGAGTCCAAGAATATTCTCATATCTAGTTGTTGCGAGACAAGCTCCCTCAAGAGAAATGGATTCTCAAAGATTCTCTTAAATTCTAAATTTTTTCTAGTATAATAATTTTCAAATCTTCAAGCATACATTAATAAGTGGAAACGTTTGATTTTCAGGTTTAACCTTCGAAGTTGAGCCTTCATGGAAGAATAGCAAAGCAGAATCACACCAGAAGATTGTTCGAGTTCTACTCCCTGAAGTAAGGAGTAGCGAACCCGTAGGCAGAAGATTGTTCGAGTTCTACTCCTTGAAGCAAGAGGGAGCGAACCCTTAGGAAGAAGATATTTTGAGTTCTACTCCTTGAAGCAAGAGAGAGCGAACCCGTAAGCAGAAGATTGTTCGAGTTCTACTCCTTGAAGCAAGAGGGAGCAAACCCACTGGTTGAAGATTGTTCAAAGAAGAGGGAGCAGATCCCTCATCAAGTTTCAAAGCACGAAGATGGAACTGGACAAAAACGCACCATCTTTTGATCTTTGCTCTATTCTCGTTGCACGACAATGAACAAAGAGGGGCAGCTGTAGATGCTCATTTTTATCCAGGGCCGAGTCGGAGCAGACTCGAAGCAATCGTAACCTAACCCGACCTTGAACCAGTTGTAGGCCCAACTCAAGCCCAATGGACGACAGTTGATTGCAGAGGAAAAGAGAGAGGTTAACGTTGGTTTTTAGCAATTTTTTTATATATACGGGGAGATTAACCATCAAAAGAAGGGGGAAATATATCAGGAATCCATCACCATTACGAGAAAAAAGAAAACAGAGACCATTTGCTGGAAAAGCCGAAGAACACAAGAACAAAAACACGGGGAAATCGTTCGTTTCTTTTTCAGAGCAAAGCAAATATAAAAGAGCGTGTAAACAACTAGCAAATTGGAAATTCAAATCTTGTAAGATTTTCTTTCCATGATCATTTACAATTACATTTTTGTTATATTTGTTTTAATAGCTTTCATGATAAATTCAATACAAAAGGAACAAAGTGAATCAAATTTACCTTCGATTTTAGGCTGGCGTTCGAAATAATTGAGTCGTAGGTGCCTGAGTCTTAGCGTCAAGGTTGTAACGTTGTTGGAATCGGGGTTAAAGTGTTGAGATTCTTTTGTATAACCTGCGTATGGTTCAAAATGTAGTTTTTAGATTATAAAAAGAGGGGTTTCAAGATAGAAAAAAAGAAAAAGATTTGGTATGTTACCTGACTGGTTCGAGTTTACTGTCGAAATAGAAAGGTCAGTAGTTGTCGGGTCCCTTCGTCGGAGTTGTAGAGTAGTCGCAGTCGAGAGAATTCCATATTCAACCTTCATCGTAGTTTCGTTTTTTAAGCTTCGGGTATGTGATTTAGAAAAAGAGGAGAGCATGTTTGAGCCTAGCCGATGATGGAACTCGGGTGAATGATGGGCATTGGGGCTCTCGGCAGCCAGGTGAGCACGAAGAAGATGAGTGGAGAGATGCTTGGGCGAGCTGCAGCGTGCGAGAGATAGAGAGTGGAGAGTAAAGCCGAGTAAGGCTTTGTGCGTAAGATTTAGGTTAGGTATAGTTTATTTAGTTTTTATATTAAATGTTTAGGGTTAATTTGTTTAAGGTCCCTGAAAGTTCATTAAGTTTTTATGCTTTAGTCACTGTTACCATGTTTTTTTATTCTATTTCAGATTTTTGGTGTATTGAATAAGTAGTTTTGCCCTTTTTTGTATATGGATTACTTACGTAGGCTCCTATTTGAAAATAATTAAGTTTTAGTCCTCTCAGATTTGCAATGAATGTGCATTTAGGTCACTTGCTTATTTCGAATTTTACATGCTTAATTCTGTATATATTGAAATTTAGTCATTACATTTATGTATATATACTTTTTAAATTTTTAGTTTAGCATGTTATGTTTTTGTTTTTATATTTGAGTCATATTTGTACATTATATGTTAGTATGCGTGGCTTATGATCTTTAATTAAAATATATGTAATTTCTTGTATGTTACATTGTATGATATTTTTTAATTTTGTATAATTAATTTTGGCATGTCATGCACTTTTTGCACAATTTGTATAATACATTCACGTGCATAACTTGACCTATTACATAATTGGATTAAGGGTAATATACTTTTAATTTAAAATTGTTTTAAGTGGGCAGTCATAACTGATTTGAGGTCCGCTTTTAGTGAATTTAAAATAAAAGTGTATCCCGAAAGTGAAACCAAAAATTGATTCGTCACCTAAAATTTGGGAATGAAAGAAAAGGAAATGTTCGTTTATTTAAATTTATCGAGAAAAGGTTGTTATAGATTTTAAGATCTGGTCTCGATATTTGTAAATAATCGAACATTCTTTATCTTTCTAAAACGACTCGGTAATTTTAATTTAATTTATTTGAGTGCTTTTGAATGTTTTAAATTGACATTTTTATTTTATGGGATTAAAAATCAAAATAAATTCGAATTTGTAAAGTTCATTGCAAAGACATTAATTAATCGACTAGGTACCGTTTTAGGGCGTTGTGGGGTGCTAATCCTTCCCTGCACGTAACCGACTCCCGAACTCGGATTTTGGTAACGCATACCTTAATTTGTTGTTTTAATAAAAATTAATTTTTATTTAAAATAACAAACAATTTTAGGTGCCCAATCACACCCTAATCAAAGATTGGTGGCGACTCTTTGAACTGTATTTTTTTCGATCGTAAAGGAAATCCAAAATTTTTCGAAACGAGAGGTTTTTAAATCGCATTTGTCTTTAAATTAAAAATCAGTTGAAAGAGGTAAATTAAAAATTAATGTGGTTTTTTAAATCTCACCTTTTAAGAAAAATCGTTTCGACAACCATATTTTAATGATGTTTGCTGACACTGTTGTCGTTTTTAAGCACTGACTTAATGATATAATGTTTCAAACACGACTTGACAACATAATGTAAATAGAAAATCGATCCACAAAATACAATACATCTAATGTCGGTCTTCAATTTTTTAACAAAAAATACAATTTAGAACATATAAATAATCAAGTCATTATTTTGTGACTTTCAATAGTTATAGGATTCAATAAAAATCATCTTATAATTAAAAGATTATTTTATAACTTTTAATAATCGTGAAACTAAGATAACAACCATCTTTCATACACTTCCTTGCACTTGTATGTGTTTCATATTTTCGAGTAAATTCAAATCGATCTAGAAAGATTAAAAGACGAGTGATTTGATTATTATATCTGAATTCGGAATCTCGGATTTCGACTTGAACTCGAGCTTAAAACAGCTTGATTTGATAATACACTAGCTGAAAACCAAGCATCTCCAAATCTTTTGTTCTAAATACAAAATTCTCTAACATGTTAATATACTTGTTTCAGATACATATTGGTATTCGACACTTACTCTAAGTCAAGCCAAGTATGCTCACCATTGTGCTGATATTGTGAATTAGTTAATTTCTCAGGCAATCTTCAGATTTTAAGCGTAAGAGAAAAGCTGCAAAGATAGAGTTCATCAGGGAGTCGAGTGGCTTCCGACTGATTCTCTTTGTATATTTCATTTATTACTTTTCTTGTTTGCCCCCTTAAATTTCTTGCGTCGAGTTCGAGCCTTGAAAGAATGTTGTTTGTCGCCGGCTGATGCCTTGTGCTTTTGGCTCGTAGTTGGCTGGTTTAACTTTCTCTTCTGACCTCTGCCGGTGCCGGTGCCCAACCCTTTGTCGAAATTCTTTTTACCATATCCATCTGATTGACCCTTCATTGGTTTTCCAAAGTGCTTAGCTCTTTTAGCCGTTTTCTTTCCACCACCATGGCTATCTGATATGCCAGCAGGTTCAGTTGAATCAGAACGCTTTCTGCCATACCTTTTGTCCCTCTTTCTTTTCCGGTGTTCGAAATTATCATTTTTCTGCTTAAATGTGCCGAATCCCTCATCTTTCCTCTTACGCGACCTGGTGATATTCAAGTAATTAATTGTAAGACATTCAAATGCGCACTACCAATAATAAACTGAATCGTAAAAGCAGCAAACGAAAGAGATCAGACCCCTCAGTTAGTGAATCCACTTTGTCTGCATCATTATCGTCAGCTTCTTCGGTAGTTGATTTGCCACGTCGGTTCTGCAATAATACAGACATTACATACGACCCACATGTTGCAATGTGGTCTTCATGAGACATCTCGGGAACATAAAATGGCAGAGGTATTCTTGGTGGCAAATAGATATCAAATACCATATTTGAATCAGGAATCAGTATCAAGACTGCTGGTGCGAGTAATTTTTTTTTGTTAATAAAATATTTTGACACCTTCAGATCAATGAGATCATTGGACATCAAAGGAATGGTAGATCAAATGGAAGCAAAGGAGTGAAACCTTTATAGGAAACCAAAAGCTAACTTCCCCAGCTACCGACATTCATCACCTACTTTTTTTACGAAATTCTTGGGGAATAATCAATATAGTCCCCAGTATGAATAAATTTCATTTTTCTTAAAACTGATAAAACTAGGATGACTAAAATAAAAAGAAATGGTTACCTCTATAACAGTAGTCAGAAAATTCCTATGCTTTTCTGGAGCAACTGATTGAACAGCAGCAATACCACATTTCCTTGTCAAAATTTCCAGTATTATAATGACCTGTCGCAACATGAATGTACAAAATGAGAAAGCCTCCAACTATATTATCTGCAGGGGTTAAAACCGGAATTTACATTTATATATAGAGAGAGAGGTAGGATCCAATTACACTGTGTAAAACTCTTTAGTTTTACAACGCTTTAGGATCATTGGATGGATATAAATAGATGACCGAGATACACAGTTAAGATTGATTATATTTTTACGAGTAAAACAAATGGTGGATGATGTGAAATCACACAGTTTAAGTCTTAGCCATCCATTTACATTCACCCAATGATCCTACATCAATGTAAAACTAAAGAGTTTTTCACTATATAAGCGGATCCTACCCCAAATATTATATATATATATATATATTGTTTTTTTTTTGGGGGGGGGGGCGGAGAGAGAACTTGAAATACAATTTTTTGTGAGAGTCGTTTTAGCACTGTGTTACCCTTCTAATTTTTAAAGTTTTTGACATAAATTTCATCATTGGGGGTGGGGTGGGGAGGGGGAGGGGCAAAATGCAATTCTACCACGCATTAATTAGTATTTTTTTTTACTTTTAGAGGGACTTGCAATGTTTACCTTTGATCTGAAATGATTTTTCGAGATAGATGACCACTGGAGAACTCCATTGATGATTTCGGAAAGAAAATTCTGCAGGTCATTAGCTTGCAAGGAAGAAACCAAGACTTTTACAAAACCCAAAACAGCCTGTCAACAACATAAAAAAACCTCGTTACTTCTAGCAGTTTTGTTTTTCAGCAAGATGAAATGAAAGAGAATAAGTTGGCACAATGCAAACTCACTTTTATAACTTCCACAGCTTTAGTTTGCAACAAGGATAAAATAGAGGAAACAAGATCGGGCACTGAAATACAGATCTCGGGATCATCATATACGAGAACAGATAGGGCAGCTACTGCTCCACTCTTGATGTGAGGCGATGAACCGGAAAGATATCCCATTATCTGAACATTAAGCAACATCTTCGGTCATCACATGTTATAATAAAATTCATCAAAGATAACTATCTGTTGCAGACATGATTTACAAATGCAACTAGCAGAAGGAAATTGGGGTAAGTTAAAAGCAGCATAAACATTTATACTGTGGACTTTTTTAAAACATAAAAAATGTCGACATTAAAAACAATAAATACAAGTCCAACTTAGAAGGTTAACAACACCTTGTTTTTGAGTAGCATGCAACATTAATGGTGTAAGACAGTGTGGCCTCTTGGGAGTTGGGATAGCTTCTACCTTCATTTTTTTTATAAGACTTCTACCTTCATTATATTTATCATGGAAATCAAATCGGCATCTTTTATACTTTACTCTAAAACTCAACTGTCAGAAAAAAGCTACTGCTTCGAGGCTACAACAAACTTCTAGCTTATCTCAAAGGATTCATTATATAGTTTTATTATTATTCTTTATGTAACTTAATGTCTGGGTAATGAATTATTGCATATAAAAACATTAATTACAAAAATGGACAAATTAAAGCAGCCAATTTCTTTACAAGATGAATACACACAGAAGAGACCAAATTATCCTTACCATGTTAATCAGTTTGTGATAGGGTGGATCAGAGTTGAGATCTGAAGATTTTCTTAAGGTAGAACTCATCTTTAGGAGTATATCATAAGTTGCTTTCCTTGTTTCTTCTTTCCCCTGCATATTAAATTTAAATTAAAAACAAAATGACCTGCATTACCTCATTGAGAGAAAAAGTAAATAATTGAACTTCTTTAGCAGCTCTTACATCCTTTAACGTAACTATAATCTCATTAAGAATAAGAAAAGGCTTTGTATTTTCCTCCAATGAGCTCATCTACAAGAAAATTGAAAGTTACAACTGAAAGTCAGCTGCCATCTACATCTAATTCTTCAGAGAAATCACATCATCATACCAATGTGAACGAAAGCTAGACTAAAAGATACATGAATTTGCTGAAAACGAGTTCAGATGGGATGGATATAATTTCCATCATGTTAGGCATCAATATATTGCCACAGGCTCAAATTCTTGATTATAGCAACAGCACTAATAACAGGAATTCCTATTTTCAAAAGAACTACAGACTTCACTACTTTCTTCTTGGTAAGAGGTCCCATGAGAATTTTGCAAGTCACAACTAAGAGTAACTAGTTTGTTTTAAAAAAAGTTTACCAGATGAATAATACGCAATAAATCAAAACCATTGTTTGACCACATTAAATGAAGATTATCACCTTAATCTAAAAGCATGAATTACAATCAATAAGGCATGAGAAAATTACAACAGTTGCACTACACCTTGCTCAAAATCTGTAGAAATCAGAGTAATGGTATAGAAATCAGAGTAATTCTCTGTATTTTCTTATTCTTTTCAATATGACAGATTACATATTTATATACAAAATATTTCTCTAAAGTAGGAAACTCTAAGAAAGGAAAAATAATAATCCTATGATATGATCCCTTAAAATAAGGGATTGTAGAAATCTATTTACAAAATCATATCTCTATAGGAATGGTAACAAATCATCTCTATAATTCCTACACTCCCCCTCAAGCTGGAGAATATACATTGTATAATCCCAGCTTGAATAGGAATTTATTGAAAACAGGCTTTGGCAAAGCCTTAGTAAGAATGTCTACAACTTGTTCTTCTGAAGGAATGTATGAAAGTGTGGTTGACTTTTTGTTAACTTGATCAGCAATAAAATGCCTATCAATCTCAACATGCTTTGTCCGATCATGTTGAACTGGGTTTTTGGCAATTTGAATAGCAGATTGATTATCACACAAAACTTCAAAGTGATCCTCTTGATTAATGACAAGTTCTTTCAGTAGTTTAAGTAGCCAAATTCCTTCGCATATTCCCAATGCTAGTGCTCTGAATTCAGCTTCAGCACTACTTCTTAAAACGACAGATTGTTTCTTACTTCTCCAAGTTGTAAGGTTTCCCCAAACAAAGGTGCAGTAGCCACTAGTGGATCTCCTTTCAGTAAGGTCTCCGGCCCAACTAGAATCTGTAAAGATCTTAACAGTTCTGTCTAGTGTCTTCTTATACTTGTGTCTTCTTAAACATTAAACCGTGTCCTGGAGTTTTCTTCAAGTACTTGAGAATTCTATTTGTTGCTGCCATATGCTCTTCAGTAGGATTGGTCATGTGTTGACTTATCACATTTACAGAAAATGTTATATCTGGCCTTGTCAAGGATAAATAAATTAGTTTCCCAACTAATCTTTGAAATTTCTCTTTGTCTACTAAGGACCCATCTTCTTTGTTGAATTTCAAGCTTGCCTCCATTGGTGTATCATTCGGCTTACAACCAAGAAAACCAGTTTCTTTGAGTAAATCAAGTACATATTTTCTTTGGTTGATCACAAGTCCTTCTTTTGACCTTGCCACCTCCATTCCTAGGAAATACCTTAGCTTTCCCAAATCCTTGGCTTCGAATTTCTTATTTAACAACTTCTTCAAATTCCAAATCTCTTCTTCATCATCTCCGATAAGAATTATGTCGTCCACGTACACAATAAGGATAGCTTTCTTATCTGTAGAAGTTACCTTGATGAAAAGAGTATGATCGGCGAGGGACTGCTTGTAGCCGTTTTTTAGGATGACTTTAGTGAACCTCTCGAACCAAGCTCTGGGTGATTGTTTTAACCCGTATAGAGACTTGTTGAGCTTGCAAACCTTATTGCTACCTTCAGCAGACTGTAAGCCAGGTGGCATTTTCATATAGACTTCTTCTTCTAGCTGGCCATTAAGAAAAGAGTTTTTTACATCAAGTTGGTGTAATTGCCAATCGCAATTTACAGCCAAACTTAGGAGCACTCGAACAGTATTCAGCTGCGCCACAGGTGCAAAAGTTTCTGTGAAATTTATCCCATATGTTTGCGTAAAACCTTTGGCAACTAGTCTCGCTTTGTATCGTTGGATGCTACCATTAGAGTTATACTTTACAACAAATATCCATTTACAGCCAACAACCTTTTTTCCTTGAGGAAGGTCTGTAACAGTCCAAGTAGTATTTTTCTCCAGTGCAAAAATTTCCTCTTCAACAACCCTTCTCCATTTAGAATCCTTTAGAGCTTCAGTTATGCTTGTGGGAACCTGTTCTTTATCCAAGGTTGTTGTAAATGCTTGAAAAGAAGGCATCAGAGAATTATAACCAGCAAATTTTTCAATAGGATGCTTGGTGCACTGTCTAACCCCTTTTCTAATAGCAATAGAGAAGTCATCTAGAGTAGTGGAAGTAGACTTACTGATTTCTTCTTCTATTTCGGCAGCTGGACCCAAATCTAATTCTCGACAAGAATCAGATTGCAAAATAGCCTCAGGAATGTGTTTTCTTTTCCTTGTATAGAAACGGAGCTGTTTGATTGGTGTTGTTTGTGGAAGATTTTGAATTGGAGTAGGTGTATTTTCAGGAAGGATATTTAAAGTGGGTATGGGTGAAGTAGTGATAGGAACTACCGGTGGATCAATGGGAGTAGTTACAGGTGACAAATTTATAGGTAAAGACAAGGATGATGGCAATTCTGGAGATACTTGATATGGCTGAAAATCCCTCCATGTCTCCCCTGAATTTCAACCTGAATGAAATAGGGATCCTGCTCATAAAAAGTGATATCCATAGTAGTGAAAAATCTTTTAGAAGGAGGATGATAGTATTTATAACCCTTCTTGAGTGAAGAATACCCAACCAATACACACTTTATAGACTTAGGATCTAACTTGGACTTATTAATAGCAGTGTTTTGGATAAAAACGGTACAACCAAATATATTAAGAGGTAGAATGGAGGATATAGGTTTAAAATGTGGAAAGTATTGCAAAAATATAGATTGAGGTGTTTTAAAGTGTAAAATCTTACTAGGCATTCAGTTGATTAAATATGTGGCAGTTAATAAGGCTTCCCCCCACAAATATTTTGGAACATTAGTGGTAAATAGAAGTGAACGAGTAACTTCAAGGAGATGTCTATTTTTCCTTTCGGCAACGCCATTTTGTTGTGGGGTTCCAACACAAGAACTAAACTGAACTATACCCTTTTCCCTGAAAAAAGCACCCAAAGACTTAGCAAAAAATTCACTGCCATTATCAGATTTAAAGAGTTGGATTTTGGTTCCAAATTGTGTGAGAACCATGTTATAAAATTGGGCAAAAACACCAGCAGTTTCGGATTTATCTTTGAGCAAATAAGTCCAAGTTATCCTACTGTGATCATCAATGAAAGTGATAAACCACTTACAATTATCAACATTCTTCACCCGAGAAGGACCCCAAATATCACTGTGGATCAAGGCAAAAGGGTGAGAAGGTTTGTATTTAGAAGGAGAATAAGATGATTTAGTGTGTTTGGCAAGAGAGCAAACTTTGCAAGAAAAGGAAGTTGGCTTTTTATTAATGAATAGAGCAGGAAACAACTTTGCAAGATAATGGAAACTAGGATGGCCTAAACGAAAGTGCCATAGCATAACGGTATCATTTTGTTCTAAAGCGGTGAACGATTTAGAGATCTCGGTTGTAGTAGATGAAGGGAGGATGTAGAGGCCATTCTGCAAGCTGGCCTTACCAATCATCTCCTTCGAGTTCAGTGCCTGCAAAGTACAGTCAATATCAGTAAAAATTCCAGAGCAGTGCAAGTCGATGGAAAGTTTACGAACTGAAATGAGATTGCAAGCCAGAGTTGGTACAAAGAGAACATTTTTAAGTGTCATATGTTCATTGAGAACCACAGTGCCATGACCTTCTATTTTGCACATGGAACCATCAGCCGTTTTGACTGCCTTACCGACGTTTGGGAAAAAATTATAAAACAACCCCTTATTACCAGTCATATGATCCGTTGCACCAGAATCGAGGATCCAATTAGGAGTCATCTGAGAAGATAAAAAAGCTGTAGGATAAAGGTTACCTTCTGATTCTTTTATGACCAAATTACTTTCACAAGGCCCCTGAAACTTTTCAAACAGTTTCTGAAGTTCAACAATCTGTTATTTGGTGAAGCGAGTGACAGAGTTGGCAACGACTAGGCTAGATTTATTATCTTGAGAGGTCTTGGACTTCCAGTCCTGAGGTTTACCATGAATCTTCCAACACTTCTCTTTGGAGTGGCCGAGCTTTTTGCAATGTTCACACCAAGGTCTCCCCCGTTTCGAAGTATTAGATAATTGATGAGTAAGTAAGGCAGATCCTTCAGGAGTGGAATATGGTTCATCAGGCAGCATCACACACCAGCGACTTTCTTCCTTCTTGACAATAGCGAAGGCCTCTCGAAGGGAGGAAGAGGAGAAATAGCCAGTACTCGGCCATGAACCTCGTCTAATTCCTTGTTTAAGCCTTGGAGAAATTGAAAAAGTCTTTGCTGAGTTACAATTTTCTGGTAAAGGGTAGCATCTCTTGGATCTGCCCAATCATGTTGTGCATACAAATCTAATTGTTGCCAAAGGCCGGTTAAGGTATTGTAGTAGAGAGTGACAGGCATGGTTCCCTGTTTGAGAGTGGCTGCTTGATCTTCAATGTGATATAACTCGGCAATATTATCAGTGCTGGAGTATGTTTCGCGGACTGCACTCTAGATTTCAGCGGCTGTGTTGTACAGAAGAAAATTTCTGCTGATACTTGGGATCATGGAATTGAGGAGCCAAGTCATAACTTGACCATTGTCACGCATCCACTTAGAAAAAACATTGTCAGTCGCAGCAGGCTTCTGGATTTCACCAGTAACATAGCCCAATCTTTCTCTGCCTAAGAGAAAAATTTTAACCGATTGGGACCATTCAAGAAAATTGTTGCCATTCAATCGATGGCATGTAATAACTAGACCGGATGATTATGTTTGAGTGTTAGAATCAGAAAGATTTTATGGATTTGAAATAATCTCCTGAGTTAACGAAGGAGATGTAGGAGAAGAAGTAGCAGACATGGTCTAGGTTGGAAAGAAACCGTAACCTAAGCTGATACCATGTAGAAATCAGAGTAATGGTATAGAAATCAGAGTAATTCTCTGTATTTTCTTATTCTTTTCAATATGACATATTACATATTTATATACAAAATATCTCTCTAAAGTAGGAAACTCTATGAAAGGAAAAATAATAATCCTAGGATATGATCCCTTAAAATAAGGGATTGTAAAAATCTATTTACAAAATCATATCTCTATAGGAATGGTAACAAATCATCCTATAATTCCTACAAAATCAGATGACCAGATATCACCACAAAGAAAGAAATACAAAATGCACAACATAAAATCAAAAAAGGAATCTCTAATTCTCAAACAAGATGAGCTTAGATGAGACTTAACCTTCAAGGTGTGAACCATTAGAATGTTGAAATAATAAAGTCGGCTTCTAAGAGATGCAATATCAGCTGGAGATTTTAGTCCAAGTAATAGATCAATCAACTCCTCTAATCTAGAAGAACAAAACCAAGCTTGTTCCTGCATCATAACATGAGAAAACAGGAAAATTTTATTTCCTACCGCGCAATGAAGATTAAAACAGATGAACAAAAAATACCATGAGAAACACACCTCCAAAATTTTGCTCAAAGCATAATATGCTTCATGATGACCAATCTCGTTGGTTTCCTAAAAACAGAGGTTAGTAAACATCTTAAGACTAGATTAGCTAGTTCCAAAGACAAACAAAAAATAGCACAATAAGAGGTAAATGAGAATCTTAAATACCTGAAAAGTTTGCTTTATTAAGACATAAATAAAATCAATAAGGTCCTCCTCTGCTCCTGAAACCAGAGAAGATGCCAGGTCGATTATGATACACCTGAGTAAAAAGAAAGTCTTAGCACCATTGTCAATCTCTACTCTCCAGAGAAAAAGAAATTTTGAGCTCTCATTATTTTTTCAAGTGCAACAAAAGTCAACAAGATCCATCCATTCAACACTCCCAAAGACATTCCCTCTCAGTTTCTTCTTAGACTGTTAAACGGATAGGTGGGGGACACACGTAGTTCACACCAAAATAAACAAATACATATTAAGGTGAAGATCCTAATAAAGACAACTGAAATTGCCTGCTGCAGATAAAAATTGACTATTCTATTTTGTTGGAACTCCAAATCATTTAACTTCGCCTTTTATACTAAGCACCTTAGAAAAACCGGTATTAAATCAAAAGCAGTTATGATTAGCTTCACATCAAATTTGAATACTATAGGCATAAACTTATATCCGTATCACATCACAGTTGCTAGTCAGGGAACAAATTTCAGTTGGATAACTAATAAAATGTCAAAGATTTGCAAACTATAAGAAGAAGAAAGAAACCACTAACTAGATTAGAGAATTATAAATTCAGGAAATAAAAACCTGAACAAACCTGCTTGCTTCTTTACCCATAGTATTAAGATTGCTTTCTTCTTTTCTCATCAACTCATTGGCATTACCAGGCTGCTTCTCAAATTCACCTTCACCATCAATGAACTGCAGCTTCTCAACCAACGATACAAAATTTCTTTTGGTAACAGAAGAGTCTGTAATTGAAGCCAAGCATCCAATAGCATCCTGAAATCACGAGATCAGAAGATATTTGGAGTTTAAAATTAATATGACAATAATTAGTGTTTCAAAATACCAGTAAGGGGATATGTGCTCATGTTTGATATCAAAGTCAGACAATTTGTTTTCCCAAGAAATAAAAACTGACTTCAAAGTAATATGAATAAGTCTTATCAAATTTTAAACCTGATGCCAAGATGAAAAAATGAATGTTGAACCTTTAGATATAAAGGCTTTGCCGGAGGTGACTGAACAAATACATCAGTCAGAGCCTGAAGCATCTCTGGAGCACATAATGACAAAGCCTTAATGTTTTTGGTTGCAGTTTTCTTCGAGTAAGAGGCTGGATTTGTGAGCTCTAATTTTGAATTGCCCACTATGGTGTTGTTCGACTCATCAGCATCCTTTCCACATCTAAGAATACTTTTGTTTTGATTGATAAGAATCTACGGAAAAGCAACATAAATATAGATATTATACAAGAGTAAAGAAATAACAACCTACAAAAATTATTTGGAAAAGGATAAACATAAGGTTCTAGGATTTACGAAACTAATGAAGATAATGATAATAACAATACAAAATTGACCTGTATGGCTAGAGCAATATTTTCATTCATAAGTGAGTCCTCCTTAAGAGTATCAATCATAAGTTTAGCCAAAGCTTTGAACTTCTTGTGTGTATCAATTGGATAGTGACAAAAGGCAGGTAGTAATCCCAATAGGCTATGAGCATGAGCCTGCAGATCTTGACGAATTACAGACTTTTTTACTGAATAAATTGGAAAAAGAAAAAAGATAAGTCAAAACCAAAAAAATGAAAAAAATCTGCTCATCATAAAATTACAAACAGAACCCCTGGAAACCAAAATACATAGAATTAAGTGGCACAAGACATAGCTATCCAAGAAATATAGTTATAATGAAATAAGAGCTAAACACACTGAGAAGCGCTAAATACTCAGTGCAATAACCTGTGTGCCCTTACAGGCAATTGTGGATAATCCCATACTGCGCAATTATAGTTTTATGTTTATACGCGGTAAAGAAATAATAGGATATGTAGCAGAAAAAGAGATGATATGCTTCTCCCCAAAGTCGAGTACCTAGGTTTCTCAATGATTGGCAATTAATACACCTGTAGGGAACAAATACACCTACTACAAAAGAGATAAAAGCTGATGGCAACAAGTAAATTTCACAAAGAAATAGGGAAGACCGTCTTTGCCAGGCAAAGGAATCCCGGTCTAAAACTCTAGACATATACTTGGAAAAGTATTTCAAAACAGAGGCCAATTCCTATAAAAAAAAAACAGATGAGCCTTGCATCACATATTCATCTAGTTTCTAAGTTAGATGGGTACAACATTTTAAACCAGCCAATGGGACGTTAACCTAGACTAAATGTGTAAAGTAAAAACAACAGAGAAGATTAGAGAAGTAAAAGAAAAAGTGAAAGAAAGCTCCTAAATATGGATATCCATCCTCTAGATCATCATGTCAATTGAATCCTTGGCCTCCAAAATATCCCTGAAAGAATCATAATCTGATGGATTCACAACAATTTAAGCCTAGCACCTTTCTAGGTTCCATTTTACGTGCATAATTACCCTTCGATTTTCATATCTAGTCATAATGATGACGTGAAGAAATCTCCAGGGGTGAGAAGAGTACCTTTACAACTTGCTTGCTGGAATGATTTAGCAAGCGGCACTATATGCTCCATATAATAGCTGAGAGATGCTCCAACAACGTAGTCCTTCAATATGGGTACCAACCATATGTTTGAATAAATTAAGCCATCAATATCAAGAGTTATAGGCAAAAGAGTCAATATTCTCTCTGGCCCTATAACAGTAACTGCTGATCCTAGACAACTCTGAAGCTGCAAATTATAACATAAAAGGATATCAACAGTTTTCCAGTGATTACTATGGAAGATACTGCAATCATAAGCTGAAGTAGCCAACCTACCGTAAATATAGGATTAGCAAAAGATTATGCATCTTGTTGAATCGATGTTAACCTCTAATCAGATAAATTTTTTGGATGTAACATGGGCATAACATATGTTAAAAAGCCACAGCATATTTTTCAAACCAAATGCATTAAAAAATTGATACTAAAATTTATCTCGCAGAAAGAGGAAAATACAGACTTCATTGTACTTGACCATCATATAATGCCAAACATGCCAACTAAACAGAACAAGTTTGCCAGAAAATAAATAGAAGACAAGGAAAACAACGAAGACTCCATTTTTCCAGACCAAGTACTCGATATTTACACTTATCATACATATTTCTGAATTTGTATTCCTTGTTTTTGCTAAAACTTTACCATTCTTTATGAGTTTATTCTAAGTACTTGAGGCATGCCAGAAGAAAAGTGTGGTTATCAAAAGTACATGGTAGATATATCAACATGAGCATTCAGTAATAAATTTTAGTGAATGTGTAGGATCTGATGAAAACAGATTTGTTTCTCAGTATTTCACTTCAAATTGAATCTTCCCAAAGTAAGTCTTTTTAAAAGACTTCAGCACCTAAAGTTTTACTCCTGCAAGGAGTCCTAAAGCTATACAAAACTTTAAATTTTAAACTAGGGATAAGGTTAATCTAAACTAATTAGATTTATCTACAGAAATAACAAACCCTAATAACCTTATCTTATCTACAAATCACAGAATGAACAACAAACTTACTGGAACAACAACTTATAATCCAGTAAAATATCATAACATTAAATAGAATTTTGGTAATTTAAATCCCAAGCTTATTAGCAATATAAAACCCCAAAACTTATCAATAAAGGAACAAGCACAAAAGGCTATGCAAAGTCTTACATGGTTCATAGTAGGCGTATCCCCGCCAGCAAGAGTCATTAAGTCGGCAAGTTTATGCACAATTCCCTTCATAAATATATATGAGGATACTCCTACAACAAATTGAAGCTAAAAAATAAGTAGAATTCATTGCACAATAAACACGTAATTTTTTCTGAGAATAAAGAACATATTCTTAACCAACATATAAGTTCTCAAATTTGTCATCCTCTCCTTTTATTTATGTTTCTTCCTAAGGGACTTTAACTACATCAGCTCAAGCAGTTGGCAATCTTCTTAACAATTTCAAAAACCCTGTCAGCATCTTGTTTGGACTGCGAACCAATAGTTACATTAGTGTCCATCAACTCTAGTGACAAATGTCATAAGAACTAAACCATGACACAAAAGTTTTTGAGGACTCAATTAAAACAGTCTCAGAACTACACAGGACCCTTATACCACCAACACATTTATTTGGAGAATGCTCCATAACATATGTCTAATATAAATTACCAATAACACAGGAGATACATGAGATGAACAACAATATTCAAGACAATGCAGCCAAGCTCTCTTGTCATGGCAACTCAAGGACAAGGAAAAACAATGATTGGGGTAAGGAGGGAGATTCACTTGGTGCAATAACAGAGAGTCTCCAACTTGGGAAAGGCTGGACAGATTTCTGATTACTGGTTCATTAATTAATCATTTTCGTAATGTGATCCAAAGAATGCTACCCAGATCCCTCTCGGATCACAATCCGGTGGTACTAGTAGAAGAATGTAATGATTGGGGTCCTAAGCCATTTCAGTTTTTCAACTATTTGCTAGAGGAAGAGGGGTTTACGGGGGTGGTGGAAAATTCTTTCTCAATTTTGAGGAAGGATAACAGTTGTAGGGGGCTGTTTTCACTTCTAAAAGGAACTAAGCAGGCTATCAGGAATTGGCCAGGAAGTAACCATAGGGGGATTTCAGAGGACATTTCAAAATTGGAAGCTAAAATCAACGGCCTGGAACTGAAGTTTCAGAATGGCGGGTTATCTATTCAAGAAAGGGAGCTGCTTGGTACTTCGAGAAAGGATCTGTGATACTTGCATAGGAAGGAGGAGAGTATTTGGTTGCAGAGGTCAAGATTGAAGTGGAATAACGAGGGAGATAGAAACACCAAGTTTTTTCACTTATGTGCTCTGAATAGAAATAAAATTAATACCATTTCATCGCTGAAGGTAGCTGGTGTTGTTATTTCTGATCCGGTGCAGTTGAGAGGCTGTATATTAGATTATTTCAAGCAAAGCTACAATTCAAAAGCAACTCTAGAGGTGGATGAAATAAATCTTAATTTTGCTAAATTGAATCATGTTCAAATGAAGGTTCTTGAAAGGAATTTCACTGAGCAGGAAGTGTGGGAGGCAGTTTTTCATTCGGACAGCTCCAAAGCACCGGGGCCAGATGGGTTCACGATGGGTTTCTTCAAGAAATTCTGGTCAAACTTGAAGGCTCATATTATGAAATTTGTTGATGATTTTCACAAAGGAGGGAATTGGGAGCATGGAGTAAATCATGCTTTCATAACTTTGATCCCTAAGACCCAAAATCTTGTGGGTATTGAAGATTACAGACCAATAAGCTTAGTGGGCAGCTTGTATAATATTATTTCCAAAGTCTTATCTAAAAGGCTTGTGTTAGTTATTCAAGATATTATAAGCCCATCACAGTTTGCCTTTATCCCTGGAAGGCAGCTGCTTGAATGTGCTTTTTTAGCTAACGAAGCCATTGATTTTTGGAGAAAAAAGGGGAGGAAAGGTGTTGTTTTCAAGGTTGATTTTCGAAGAGTTTATGATTCGGTGGAATGGCCGATTTTATTGAGGCTTTTGAAAGTTATGGGTTTTGGAGATAAGTGGATTTCATGGATCGAACATTGTATATCATCTACTTCTATCTCGGTTCTAATTAACGGCTCTCCTACAGAGGAATTTAAGATGGGCAAAGGATTAAGACAGGGATGCAGTTTGTCTCCGCTGTTGTTCAATATCATAGGGGAATTATTGAATTTAATGTTGACAAAGGCTGCTAATTGTGGTCTGTTTGAAGGGTTCAGCATTGGCAGGGATGATAATTTATTTCGTTTAACTCACTTGCAATTTGCAGATGATTTAATCCTATTCTGCAGGGGCTCTCCGACTCAGATTCTTAACATTAGGAGAGTGCTGAGGGTTTTCAGCTTAATGTCAGGGCTGGACCTTAATCTATCCAAGAGCAAGTTGTATGGTGTTAATTTGGAAGAGGATATTTTAAGGGATTGGGCTTTCGTTACAGGCTGTGGGGTGGGTGTTTTTCCTATGACTTACCTTGGCCTTCCGATAAGTACAATAAAAAATTCAGACCTGTTGTGGGAACCAGTAATCCAGAATTTTTATACCAAGTTAGCAGGCTGGAAAGCTTCAACTCTATCGATGGCTGGGAGATTGGTCTTCGTAAAGGCAGTGTTGTCCTCTTTGCCGATTTTCTATCTATCTATTTTCAGAATTCCTCCTAAGGTTAATCAAAAGTTGAACTTAATAATGGCTAAATTCCTGTGGGAGGATGGTCCAGTAAAGCGACGAATCCATTGGGTTAATTGGAGTTTGGTGTGTCAACCATTTGTGGAGGGTGGCTTGGGTGTCTTGGATTTGAGTTTGATTAATAGAGT